ATAGAAGAATTTGTGGACTTCATTTTATTTGCCGTGGTCATTGAACAGTATTAGAGGCAGGTAACTAGTTCTGACAGGCTTCCCTCGGAAGATACCCTCTTGGATGTGCTGATCAGCCACAGCTTCAATGAAATGACTTTTTTTCTCCAGCTGTTCTCTCACCTCTTGGAGATTTTCCGGATACACTTTAACTGTTAACATATGTACTACCTGGCACAGTTCTTAAAGGACTCCTTTGGCTTCTGTTGACAGTGATGTAACTCAAAAAATTCTCAGCCTGTTGGCCAGCCCTTGCCTCCTAGCCAACAACTTCACCAGCTCCTCATATATCAACTTCTAGCCCTGGAGGGTGCCCTTTCCAAAAATGCGAATTGCATTTTCCTAGAAACTTGCAGCCAAGTACTTGGCCAATCGTACATGTACATCGTCCCATCTGTTTATCAACTGACAACTCTCAAAGTGCCTGTAGTACTCATTCCACGGCACTTAGCCACTGTAATGGTTGAGAACTACATGTACACATGGTTGGTAAGGTACCTAAGGTCGTGTCCGAAATGAGCTTCTTGAGCTACGGCTAGGTTTATTGTCTGCGTGTCTCCACGCATTTCCCATGGAGTGAAGAGCTAGACCTAGCTCTAGACAACAGATTCAGGTACAGCCTAAGTCTCTACCGCAGCTCATCTTCCCCAACATCTCTCTCTTCCTTTCTTACTGGACAATGCCCCACACCCTCCTCAACAAAGTCATCAGCCGGCACATTGTCAGTCCTAACATTCAGCAAACATGTAGCAAAACTCATTAACTTGCTGTGAACCTTCTTCTCCGCATCAGGTGCATGTGAACATATGTTCATGTCATATGAACACGTCATACACGCCCCTTCCATGTACTGTACCACAGAGACTGTTGGACCGGATGCCGCATTTTCCCTCCGAGGTGTCCAATCAATTAAACTGCCCCCACGATCATTTACCTTGAGATGGACTTTCGACGTCTTCAACTCAGTCAGTGCTTGTGCCCTGAACAACCCATACTCTGACGCACAACAACAAAATAGTAGTTGGTTTATTCAGCGTTCTTTACGGTTGATTATGGTTGATTGGAGGACTGTGTGACCACTCTTCCTCTGGTGTAGTGAACCCAACAATTAATTGTGTACCTCCAGTGCCACCGGGACCTGAAGAAGTAAGTATTAAGGGCTATCTCTGGGCTACACTACTCACAACTGCCGTCTAACATCAAAAACGTCTCCAGTATTCCTGTATCTACAAAACAAGTAAAGTCACATCTGCCACAAAAAGCCAATTTATAGAGAAATGTAGTGTTTATAGCTAATAGGACGGATTTAATGGGGAGGGTTAAATGACTTCAGTATAATGTTTTTCTTGTATTTGATTGTTTCAATTTTTAAATAATATGGAGTCTTGACAATGTTTGTAATTAGTTATGGGTAAATGGACTGATAATTTACTGTTTTTTTTTCATGTTTGTTTATTCTGTATATGTGTAATTTTGTAAATTTGTCCATATATGTACTTATGGGACCCCAATGGAAATAGGCCTGTGTAATTGGCTTTCTAGGGTTATCCCAGAATGAATCAATTGTATCTTGTTTTCTCTATGTACAATTGTTGCTTAGTTGATTGATTTCTAAATATTAACAATAACAATTCGGGCTGTGAATCGACCATAAACTCCTACAAGGAAGTCTTAGTGCACCACCAAATAGCCCCTCAATGGTCCATGCACCACACAGGACTAGGCACTAGTCATGCTATAAGCTGGGTGATATTGTGGCTAAACCCTATTCAGGATTTATGATCCTTATTGTCGTCTGATCATCGCTTATATAGCCTTATATAGCCTTGTGAGCCGGCCGCTGCTGCAACTATGCCTGTGCGCATGTGCTGCATGTGACCTAACAGTGACTCTCACTAACCAATGCCCTATGTGCAAGGCGGAGCCTAAGCACTGCACCCACTTAGCACACGACCTCTACCCTTGTAACCATGCAGAGCACCATCTCTAATTTCATCCGATGCCTAGTATTTTGCGCCCTCTGTCACGTCATAGTTTTGGAGATCTCTGTGATGAGCCTCGCTCCTTCTTGGTGGTAGCCAACTGTTGAAGTGTTTAGATGTTATCAAGGTTTCAGCCAACTGTTGAAGTGTTAAGATGTAATCAAGGTTTCAACCAACTGTTGAAGTGTTCAGATGTAATCAAGGTTTCAGCCAGAGTATTGAGATTGAAGAAGTGCATCTCCATAGTTTGTATATTGTCTGCCAGCATAACTTAACAAGCTTTATATGGAATGTTCTCATTAGTTGAATTCCGTTGTGAGCATGCAATGAGGCTTTGCATTTATTTTTCAGAACTATGCCAAGTCATCATGGCGTCAGTGATTTTAAACATTTGTTGAGGGAAAGGTCCAATCATATAACTTGAAGGTTGGTACAAGGGACGTTATCAGCATCCATTCTCCTGAGCCTGTCTTAAATGAATATCTAAGACGAGCCAAGTGCTTAATTATTCCCATTCATAAATGCTTTGAGTCACAAAGTCAAAAGAAGTTTTGAAATTATGATTTTCCAACATTTTGTTCAACAGCTTTACTCCAGTTTCAAATGCTTCCTTACCCATGCTTCAGGTATTTCCTCTTGTGAGTACATGTTGTCATAAACAATCGCAATATTTAGAGATTGGTGTGTGTTTTGTGTACACTGTGTGAGGTGGCGCAATGCCAGCCAGTGCTGAATCAACCATTCAAGACTAGCCACATGACGGACTCCTCAATAGGAATGGCTGTTCTGGCTGGATAGTATTAACCACTTTGCGCCAGGGGATGAACGGGAGGAGTGGGGCACTTCCAGGTGCGTTTCATGATTTGCTACATAAAAGCGAGGTTGCATGGTGCGTGTCTTGCATAACTCATGGCCCAAACTTGAACAATGATTGCGAAAATAGCCTTCCAGCAGCTACTGCGCCGTAGGCTGATAGAGCCATTCATATGGAAATTGACCCATTCATGAACTCTGAAAAGTGGCCTTTGTCTGCCCAGCTAATCCGTTTACAATGCCTGCCCACCTCTTATCAGTGGGTGCTCGATTTCGGGCACTCCCGGCTCCTGGCACAACAACGAGGTCCCTTCTGTGTGTTAACCCGGCGCGAAGTGGTTAATGAAGATTTTAAGCAAATCCCAGAAGGACCCCTCCAGTAAAATTAGGGTTTAGGGAAATACTAAATAAGGTGAACAACTCAAATTAGTGACTAAATTTGAAACAGTAGGCCAACTTGCCTTGCCGCCGAAGACTGTTTGGCAGTTTTTCACTTTTTAGAACAAATTAAATGTTTACCCAAAAAATACATGGCAATACGGATATTCAAGAAATAAAGGTGGTTGTTTCCAGTGGTAGCCTTCAGGATACATCAAGGCTGTGTGACTTGTATTCAGTTTCAAATCTTGCAGTCTGAGTTTCAAATCCCCAGAGATCCAGCCTCAATTCCAGCGTAACCCTTTCCCAGAAAAGAAAAAACATGTTTGGTACACACACAAGAACACACATTTCAACACTAAACAAAATTGCTTGAACACCCACGCTTGTTTCACTTACGAAGTGTGGACATTCCTTTGTTCTCCTGTGGTTAACCAATTCGGGCCGGGGCATTTTTCAATGTTGAGGATGCTGGGCCTGCATGACTATCATTTTTTCTATTTTCAAAATCCTTCAACAATTCATCATTCCATTTAACAGTCGTTTATAGCCGCACAGAGTAATCTTCAGGCACTACTCTAAGTTGAC